TACAATGAAAGTGGGAAAAATTACTTGTGGGGCTGATTGCTAGATCTGGCCACATAAGAACGTTCAAAGCAGCCTGGCTCATTACCGTAGATTCTAAGTTCGGAATAAAAGCTGATGTATGAACGACGAGATTCTACGACGCGCTACACCCATGACCAAGCGATCACCCTCAGCGGTATTCACAGCATGTGTGAAGCTAAACCACGGCCAGCGGCCGTTGCCCGCAACCCCTACCAGGATTCGGTCATGGGTCCCATTTTTTGTATTACGTTCAAAAAACGAACGTAATCATAGGCTGGTGCCGCACAGCTTATGGGGTACGCGGATGACTGTCAAGTACTTGTAACTGGAGACCCTTGGAATCTAGACGAACTTGTAGAAATCCTTCAGGAACCCTTGAGCTGCTGCGTAAGTGGTATGTTTACAACGGGATGAATGGAAACCCGCCAGAGACCCAGGTAATGACTGGCCCTTTGGAGCATGTCGACGCATCAGAAGACTGTCCCCCGGAATCAGAAGACAGGCCCGCTTTGATAATCAAGAGAAATGTATGATAGCCTGGATGCTATTTTTCATCAAGGCTATGGTAAGCATCACATCTTCATGCGATGGTGCAGAAGTGCACAGGGATCCTAGTTGCGCTTTTATGTCATCATCAAATGATGGCAAAGACGCTTATGTACCAAACAGTGCAATCGCCAGTGCTGCCGAGTGCATTCTACTACATCATTACCATAGGTGCAGCGGGGGCCATACAGGCGGCACGCTTGAAACGCACAACCTTTCAGACAGAGAAAACGAACCTCGAAAAGTACGACCGTTGCCCGCGTCGTCCGGAGGCAGTTGGGCTGGATGAACGGAGGTAAACTCATTGAGCGCCTAGCATACATACAGAAGTCAAATTGTTTGGCCACTGGAGAGCCTGCTCAAATAAGAACACGGCTCCAATCATCATGTGTCGCGCATAGCCTTGACACGAAAGACGCTCCATTTGTCACGCGTTCGAACTGAAGAAGGTAAAAGTCGCTTTTCGTTCTGAGGCACAGCTTGAAGTAGTATCCCCCGGCATTGCAACAAGCTAGCAGTGCATGTTCATTGAAACAAGCGATGAAAAAGCATTCTCAATGCGAGGGTACCTGCCTAACTGCATTTGCGGAGAGGTTGATTTAAGATAGTCTTAAAAGATGCGTAGAAGAAGAAATTGGTTTTACCTAAACCAAAATGCATATGGTTTTCGATAGCATTCTGTAGTGTCGAGAGGGGCCCTGGAGACGGGCCGGTGATAGCCACATATGTGTAGAAATTCGTTCTGAAAGAATGGAATTCGTACATGTATGCAAAACAAATCAACACTTTAACATTTTAACATCAACATTTCAACTCACATCATTTCATGCTTTGGTTGCATGTCGCATGCCATGTATCCTGCTAATGTCAAAAGATGTGCGTTATTTGAACTTCCATGAAGCTCCTAACATGGCCGCACCAGAAGGTGGCAGGGTTTGTTATAGATCAAAACCATAACATAGTATGAGCAGCGTGTTAAAGCACATGAATGCCTGCTTCACGTTTCGAAAAATAAAATCGGCCGGAGACTGAAAGTTTTTGTGTAACGGCGAAGGAAGGTAAAAAGAGCGCCGCTTCATTTTGAGTCGCACGATAGTGAGTCCAGAAATTTACAGTCCTTTACCCTTGCCAAGTTCATCCTTGTACGTAAATGATGTTCTGACAAACCCTTTTTGGACTTAAAGGTTTTTATTCGGATTTTGTTTGAGGTCAACGAACATTTCCCAAACTATAATGTTTTGAACGGAACACCGTATAGTTAAACAATATGTCAAGCTTCATCCTATGACTAGAGATGAATCCATTCCTTAGACACAGCATTCAGGCGACATCGGAGAGGTGGCATGAATAATCGGGTGATAATCGGGCAAGCGTTTTTTCTTCTGAAACGTCCTCACAGCTTTGCTTTGCAGGCAAACAATTAATGGTGCATCACTGATGCTTATTAACTTTTACCCATATGTTTTTGTTGAGCAATGCTTGCCTTGCCCGTGTTGAAATATCCTTAAAACTATTCAAAATGAATTTTGTGTGTTGCTTTATGCACGCGAACCTTTTTGTGCGGGAGTTTTTGCTTCCCTTTATCCTTTTGCCATAACAAGTATTTCGCAGACGTTCTTTAGAACATGCAGACATTCGCTTACGCCTTCTTTGGTAATATCTTTTGCGCACGTGCTTGCACCATACGCACTTCACATCATGCGCATTACACACATTTATTGACTGAGAAGTGTGCATGAAGTCGCTTAACGCACAAGTCCTTTTCCCAACCGCACTTTTTGTCCCAAAAGCTTTGTCTTGGTGGTGATCGATAACAGGCTTCCAACGTTAGTGTTGCCTGTAACAGCAGCACACGACTGGCAATCGGTGCCTGCTAGTTCATACTGTTATGGCCATGGGCGCAGGAACAGGGGGGCGAGGGAGGGGCCACAGCCCCCACTTTTCAAAGTGGGGGGACCAGCAGTGCTAACTGCCCCCCCCCCCCCCACTCTTCACATTAAAGTTGCTGCTTTTACACCACATTAGACATGCGTGCCGATTTACCTAGCTCATCATCCTTCTTACTCAAGATGCATCACCTTTTTCGTTCGCTTATTGACAGTCGGTTAATGTCACAGCCGCAGACCGACCTCGCGCGGCCAATGGAGACTGCAACGCCTGGCGTCGAGGTTTTTCCTACTAATGTTTACCAGCGTGCATGCTCAAAATGACGTCACATAATTTGCACTACTAGCCGATTTAAACGCTCAAAAATTAGCCACTGGGCTAACGTGCCGCGGACTATGGAGACTGCAACGCCTCGCGTGGAGGTTTTTGTTGCTAAGATTTGCGAGCGCGCATGTTAAACAATCACGTTACATAACTTGTATCACTTATCGATTCTGACTAAATGCTAAATCTTTCCAGACAAACATGGCTTAGCCATGCCATGTTAATACACATTGTAGTGACCAATCGATCTACAATCAAATTTTCATCTTCACATTTCGATCAAACATATCCATCTACAATCTACTTTCGCGATGTACTTAATAAGTCTGAAGAACCCAGATGGAAATTCTTGGAATTTCGCCTCCCCAGGAAAGACAATGTTGAAATAGACGAATCGTCTTGGAAAGCTGGATAGCCTTATTTGCCGAGTAGCATAGATGAGTCGAGTGGGCAAAATTGTGCATTAATGAGAAACAGCTCTAGATGCATGTCTAGCATAGCAGCCACGATGTTTGAATAAAGACCGGTAACAACCTCCATCTCTACCCCCCCCCCCTCCCCGGTCATCAGGCTTGCTTTCCAAAAAAAAAACAGAAAGTTCCTCAAGTACGCGCTGAGCTTGGCCCCCTCCCCCGCCCCGCCTTTTGAAACGTTCTATGAAAACCCCCCCTGGTTATGGCTGAATTTGAAGCTACTGCAATTAAGCTGTGATTTCAACCTGGAGCTGGGTGGCAATGCCGTATGCAAACATGCTATTCAGCATGGGGATTCACCCATCAACGGGGCACGCTCCCTGCACCGAACCACGGGAGCGGCAGCCGGAGCCGCTCGCTGACACCACTACCGGTGACGCCGGCAGTCCACCTGTCTGGACCTACCGTCCCGCCCTATTGCTGCCCCACTGTGCCAGACGCTACCGCACCTCGGCACGCGCCTCTGTCGCCACTGACCCGCCCTGTGACCCTTCTTGGTCGCAGGAGCACGGGAAGTTATCAAGATGCAGGGGGGGGGGGGGGTCAGGGGCATTTGAGGTGCTTCTTCCCATGTACCACTGCAAACGTAGTCCTAAATTATCTCTGTTGTTGGGAGGTGGAGTCGATCCTCCAAAGCCCTCCACCCAATAACGCGGTCGTTCCCTCACCCTTGCTTGGCCACATCTTCTGCGCCCCAGTGTCCTCGTTGCTGGTGGCTGGCGGCCGGGAGGCGTTTAGCCCGTTCCGGTGCGCCATTGGAGAAGGGTCGCTGTATTCCTCAGACAGCCTGGCGCACAGAGAATGTGTCTCCTGGAAGTGTTTACGTCGCGTGCCTTGTGTATCCGTGGGTGTGCGTTATGCAATATCATTTCCGTTCCGTGCATTGCGCTTTCGTGTGGCAGGATTCCTTTTAATTGATTTGGTGTGTTTGATACGACCAACTGAACCTGAATCAAATGAAGTCGGCTCCCGTCATTGTGTAGAGCGTCATATGAGACTAATTATGTGCGGGTGAGAGATCCCCCCCCCCCCCCCCCCCAGCCATTGAAAGACGGGTGAACGTCGGCTTGAGAGCGGGTGAACATCGAGACGACAGCGGGCAGATATCGGCCGGACGTGTGTGTTGGCTGGACGTCTGCTGGACGTCGGAAAATACGTCGGATGGACATCGGCTAAACGTCGGCTGGACCTCCGCTATACCCCAGCGTATGCGAGCATATCCGGCAGCAAGCCTACATCGGCTGATATCGGGTTGACGTCGAGCCGACATCAGCCCAGCGTCACCATCTTCATTGAGAACCGTAAACAAATGACGTAGCCAATCCCAAAATACCCAACAAACGGGTTTCTGCCTGAATTTGGCCTCCGTTCTTGGCCCTCATAGTTGAAGAAGGGGCTCGGGTCCACGCCGAGAGAATGCCCCCCCCCCCCCCCTCCTAACTGCAAGGGAAGCTACACCCTGGTAGATATTACACGATGTTCCTGCATTTCATAGATATACATGTTGCAAATTGTCACAAATTTTGTCACCGCGTGAATAGCAACGGCTTTTACCTATTTAATTTAGTAACTCCGCATTTGACAGACCCTATTTGTTTCAGAAATGCCGCTGCAGTGGCATTTTAATGAGAACTCACTTAGCGCCGTGGTACGTGCGAACGATGCTGGGCAGAGGTTACGGCCCGGCGCCCTGTATAACCGGGCTTCTGCTACGGGTTTTTCCCACATATATGCAATAAATTATGATATTGAATTAAAGTTCATGTTGACCTATTTCCCGTCTTGCCTAGAATATCAGAGCAAACTTGCATATGTGTGTTTTTTCATTCTTCCCTCTTTAAAGTGGTCACAGGACTTATTTAAAGGATAAGCCAGTTTTTGTGTAAGATTAGTTACGGAGCCCTGCTTTCCTGCCTTGGTGAATGATGTAAATTGAAGCCATAAAAAGGCATTGGTGGTAGGAGACTGGAGTGACTCCTGTGTGATGCCCATGCAAAAAAATAACTGAATTGGTCAGGTGCACATGTCTACATTTAAAAAGTTAAACAAAGGTTGTGGCCTAGCCTGTTCCTGATCAGTATTTTCCTGCTTATTGCAAGTGTTTTGTATCAATTTTACAATACTATTGCCCATAATTTTCACATTTGAAGCATTAGTGACATAGTGATTGCCCAGAAAAGCCTTACTTTTAAGGCATCTGTAGCTGTATCACAGCCATCATCTAGGCCAGCAGTGATGCTCATTTGTCATCTGCAAAGGCCAATTTCCAAGCTGCCAACTTGAGCTTAGTTGATTAGAGCTTGTGCCTTCACTTTAATGGCAGTCACTTCACTTCAGGTCAGTAACACCAGGAAAAAGTTGTTTACATGCAGTTTTGCAGCTGGGTGGTAGTTATAAAGTTAATGCCGCAAGCATTGTTAAGTATGCCATCTGATCCAAAAAATACCCCATTAACAGGCTTAGACGACATCTTTAAGGAATCAGTACGTTTAAATCATTTAGGGGAAGATGGTAAGCACTTGTTGATTGGGGCAGTCTTATTTGTATATATTTCCTTATGTATCCTTTACCAAGTGTGAGTAGGCATGTCAATGCAGGCTATGTTATTTAGGATGAGAGGATGAGAGGATTTTTGGTAAAGATTGGTGATATCTGCCAAAATTCTTCTCTGGTCCTTTGCCAAGTTAGGTACAATAGCTGAAGCATATGTGTCTGAAGCACTGAGACAGAGTGTGTGGCAGTGTTTTGCTTTCCCTAGGAGAACAAAGTGATTGTCTTTGCCTGCTCACTGCTAATGGTATTTATATTTCTGGGTGTCAGTGTACTGATGACTGTTTCTCCAGAATTGTTTCATTCAGCACATGGGTTGCTGGTATGTTACACAAAAATGATGGCATTTCTTAATGCAATATGGTTAAAGTACACTACTTCTGTCATTGGGTGACTCCCAATTTAAATACTGGTGTTGTGTCAATGTCAAGTGTAATGTCAAATCAAAATAATGTCACCTGGTGTTGCAGTATTTGGATACACTCAACACCAATACAAGTTTTTTGTAATGTTTCCTGTGGGGAATTCTCTGCACTTTTTCATTCTCAGTTTTCTGTGTTACTCTTCCAGAATCTTGCTTCATGGAATAGAGGATCACAATGAGTAATATTTATATTCAAGAGCCACCCACCAATGGGAAGGTATAGTGATATGCAGCACCTGCTGAGTAGTAAACCGGATGCATGTGCCATGTTTGACAGTAGTTAGATGATCATGTCCTATTGTTCAACATAATATAGATGAGAGTGTCCATGGATACATTGTTAATGGTTCAGAGGATACATTGTTCTACATAACATGCTTGCTGAGAATCATAAGTCAAAGCCTGCAAGTTAAATTAATCTGAAGAATCGTGGCCTGGCTGGCCATCCCCAGCAAGCCCATCAAGTTTGTTGTTAGACGATAGAGCGGTATTGTGACCACAGTAAGACTGAGCTCCAATAAGGTGAGCTTTGGGTTGTCCTCAGGTGCTTCTAGAAACGACTGTCGGTGACATTGATGTGGAGCTCTGGTGCAAAGAGACGCCCAAAGCATGTCGCAACTTTATGCAGTTGTGCATGGAGGGCTACTACAATGGCACGACGTTCCACCGCGTGGTGCGCGGGTTCATCGCCCAGGGCGGAGACCCGACTGGCACCGGCGAGGGCGGCGAGTCTATCTACGGCGCTACGTTCAAGGTGAGAACGCCGGCTGCCCTTCCGCGACCGCACCCGGTGCAGGGTCTGACACCCGCTCCTGCGTGGGGGTCTTGACGGTAGGGACGTTGGTGCGATCCTTTTTGCACGGAGCGCCCAAAGCTAAAGGAGCCGGCCAAAACATTGTGGAATCCTCAGAATGCATTAGCCATACAATCTGAAGGAAAGTTTGGAAAGCAGAGCCTTTTCAAGAGATGTAATCCAAAATCGAGATTTAAAATCGAGATTAATCCAAAACAGACATAACCGAAAATCGGTTTCACATGTTGCAGAGGCTGCCGTGTTGGTGCGTGTCCTTTTGCAGGACCGTTGTTGTCATGTCGTCAGGCGCTTGTTAACGCGGGCCTGCCCTTAGGACGAGTTCCACTCGCGACTGCGCTTCTCCCGGCGGGGTCTGCTGGCCATGGCGAACGCCGGTCGCGACGACAACGGCTCGCAGTTCTTCTTCACCCTGGCGCCCACACCCGAGCTGCAAAACAAGCACACCATCTTTGGCAAGGTTACTGGCAACACCCTCTACAACATGCTTAAGCTTGAGGAAGGAATGATCGAGGTGAGGCGCTATGGCATAAGGGGACTGGGTTCTATCCCTTTTTTAGGAACTTGTGGTAACTGTTACATTTGCCTGCTCAACGTTGCTCGCTTGCTTAATTTGATTAAGTCGCTGTGAGTGCTGTGGACTTAAGTTACCTCACACCCTTACCTCCTAAATTAGCGACCTCCAGGTGTCTCACGTTGATCATACAGTGTGCAGTATGACATGTAGCATGTTGTATCCGGACATGTACATGCTATGTTTACTGAGCCACAAAGCCCTTTCCACCCTCCCAGCCACCCATCCAGCTGGCACCAGTGTTTGGGTGTCTCAATCTGTGCCCCTTTTATTACTATTTGAATTATATTTCGACCGCAGTTGCATGACAACCTAGATTATGCAACGCAACTTGATGACAGCATGCCCACGTTGCAATGACATTTTGGCATCAGTTGCACATTTGACAACTTCCAATGATCGTACACATCATGCATTACAGTGTTGGAAATTCTAAAAAAAAGATTGGCTGGTAGTGGAGTACAAATTTTCCAAAGTGAAGTACAAAATTCTCCAGGTGCTGTCAGTCATTACACTTTTATTTAGGTTATCTTTGGGAGATTACAATACAGTTGGTGGTACTTAGCAGACATGCCATTTTTCATGTACGGCAATTCATGCAAAAGCACTTCAAATGAAAGCAAACATAAGTGCTGAACACAACTTGCTTAAACAACACAGTCTCAGATGATATAGCATGAAACTCATGTGCGTATATATGGTGTGCATATAAAAGATGGGCAATCAGTGAAAGAGCTCATCATGCCGTGGATTTAGGCAAGTCTTTTTCTCCCGAAGTCTTGCTGTAAATAGCAAGCATCTTATGTGATTCTTCCAAAGTTACCAACATGTCGCTTGGTGAGGGTGTGTGGTTTCGCAAAATATGTTTGGAGCCGACCAGGGAAAATGGAGCACAAAAGAATGCCAATGAGTGTGCCATAGACGGCCACCCACTCACACTCCACCACGATCACGCTACACCACGACCACCACGATCACGCTACACCACGACCACCACGATCACCGATACTCCACAATCCACCACGATCACGCTACACCACCGACCACCACGATCACGCTACACCACGACCACCACGATCACGCTACACACGATCCACCACGATCACCGCTACACCACGACCACCACGACACGCTACTCACACTCTACCACGATCACGCTACTCCCACTCCACCACGATCACGCTTCACCACGACAAAACGTCCACGCTGCTCACACTCTACCACGATCCCACTCCACCACGATCACGCTACTCACACTCCACCACGATCACGCTACACACCACGACCACCACGATCACGCTACACCCGACCACCACGATCACGCTACTCACACTCCACCACGATCACGCTACTACACCACGACCACCACGATCACGCTACCACACGACCACCACGATCACGCTACTCACACTCCACCACGATCACGCTACTCACCTCCACTACGATCACGCTACTCACACTCCACCACGATCACGCTACACCACGACCACCACGATCACGCTACACCACGACCACCACGATCACGCTACACCACCACCACGACACACCACTATCACTACTCACACTCCACCACGATCACGCTACACCACGACCACCACGATCACGCTACACCACACCCACGACCACACGACACGCCACCACGACCCCACGACCACGCTACTCACACCCTACCACGATCACGCTACTCACACTCCACCACGATCACGCTTCACCACGATCAAAACGATCACGCTACTCACACTCTACCACGATCACGCTACTCACGCTCGACCACGATCACGCTTCACCACGATCAAAACGTCCACGCTGCTCACACTCTACCACGATCCCACTCCACCACGATCACGCTGCTCACACTCTACCACGATCTCACTCCACCACGATCACGACGACCACGCTACTCACACTCCACCACGATCACGCTACTCACGCTCCACCTGGTGACTAACTTTAAAAGCGACAAAACCTTATGCCACTCCACCTTGCAACTCCCAGGAAACACACGAGGCCCGGCACGTCCCACCCGAAGAATAGAAACAGGCAGCACTCTCAACCGATTTACCGAGATAGCGCTAGTACAGTGTCTGACAGACCCGCCCAGGCCGGCCAAAAGAGGTCGGAGTCAGTCACTCCGCTGTCTCCGGTGGGTAATACAATGTGTTAATGGATTTTGGTGCGGCTTAACCGATATCATTGCGATTTGTGATAAGTTATGTTTCACTTCATTGATGTGTTTGTCTAATACATCATTTCCTTAATTCGCGAAGCCAAATTAATCGGCTTATGTAACTATGGTCTTGTGGTGCCTTTGCCGGAGCGAAATGGCTATCTGTGAACAGTTTTCCTTTTGGTATTTATGGCAAAGTTTTTCGGCTTAAAAGGATATTTTTGTGAAGCTTGAATTACCAGCTTTACTTGCATGCCCTTAAATGACAAATTTAACGTCTTTTTAATCCCCAGCTGCCTTTATATTTTTGTACTCCGGATACCAATCGGCGAGAAATCCAACTACAGGGCGGTTCTGGACAAGTAAAAATAAGTCCTCCTTCATAATCGTGATGCCCATCTCTATGCAGCTTCCCTCGAAATGTTCACAAATCTGTTCAAGACATGAGCGCAAGCGGAATATTTTTGACCTTGACAAGTCAGCCACGAAGAGGCGAATCATTTAACTCAATTGGAAAGTTTTACTATGTTCAACCTCCAACCTGAGGTGGGAGGTGGGCGCGAGTCACTGAATAGTTGAGACGTTTCCGACGCTGCATTGCGAGTCACTCTCCTATTTGCATTGCTATGACACTGGTGGAGCGTGAGTAGGTGGCCGTCTGTGGTAGAAGTTTGGGTGCGCCGTTTTTATCACCGTTCTTTGCATCCGTAGCAATTAATGTGAGTTCGTCGTTAATGGTGGGTTAACTATGTTCAATTTTGAGTTGTTTTTCCTAAGGCGTAGTAAGTGAGAGGTTTGCCAATTTACAGACCAGCGCGACTCTGCCACTCGTTTCTCATTTGCCGGCGTTGTTCGAAGACGATTCCACTCAACATTGACGCACTTTATTTTTCACATTTCCATACGTGATTTGTCGTATACTTAGGTGGCAACACGGACTGCTTGCTATTGGACATCCAAGTCTGGTGGGTGCAGGATTTCTTTTTGCAGACATCAATACATGGCTCATGATGGAAGCAGCAAGTCCCAAGCTGTTGCGCTCTTCTGATTTCATTTTGTACTGAAGCAGAGAGGTGAAATAAGCTTTTCCAGCGCAGTTTTCAGTGGGTGTCGGCTGTGCGTTTGTGAATGGACCCATTATTCGATCATTCACACTGCCGAGGCACGCGTCGGTATTCACCTCTGAACCGGTGGCTATTATCAAGGCGCCTGGTTTCATTGAAGTTGGGAATGAGTCCTTGCCCCTCATTCTAAGAGGTCCTTTAAGCGGCCTGTTCGCCTTAAGAACTTTCAGTCCATCATGTTCTCTTTTACAGGATGTCTTATGCATCTCATTATATTGGACAGAACTGGAAAAAAGGGATGCTTTGTTGGATTCCTTCTCATGCTGGTATCCTAGGAAACGAGGTTGTCGACTCAGCTGTGGAACGCGCATTACATGCTCCATATTCATGCGCATTGCCTCTTCCAACTCGAAATTTGTATCCAGCCATCTTACTATTCTTACAACGCAAGTGGCAGCTGTGTTGGGATAATGAAGGGAATGACCAGCCGAAATGTATAAAACCTGAATTTGGCTCAAGCTGTTCCATTTTCTGCGAGGCGAGGCAAGAGGAAGTTGCACTCTGCAGGTTGCGTGTTGGCCACACCTAACAAAACTCGCCGGTACTTGTTGTCATTTGGTGACAGACCTCGATGTCCACCCAGTCCTGCGTTTTTCACCATGCCCCACGTGGTTAAACTATGCCTGTATGCCGCTCGGCAGCGTTCGTGTTACTTTGGCCAAATGCTACTCCCCTCACGTTAAACGACATTCTTGGTAATTACTCGCAATTGCTTGATGCCGGTCAACTATTTTCATTCCTTGCAGGAATCGGATTTCCCTGTATACACTCACCTCTTGGCCAAATTATAATGTCGTGGGCGCAATACGGTCTCAGCGGTCGGCGCGCCCAAAATTAACAACTTCTTAACTGTTTCCGGCAGGATCACATTTTACACACTTGCCATGTAATTTATTTGGCATGGTGCGGGGGAAAACGAAACATTGGTTCGGGCCACGAAAAATGCTGATGACGTCAAAAGCAGAGGATTGCGTGGTTGGTCCAGGATGTTCTCCCTACTTAAACCTGTAACTCCAGACATGCTACCAGCCTGCCCCATATACAAACCCACCAGGACAGTGGAATATGCTATTAATATCATGGCTGCCGTCACCATGAACACTACATCTTCTTTACCATGCAACGATTTTGTTCGACATTGGTCGCTTGCAGGTTGGTTACTGGGGCACTTACGGCGCGCGCAGTATTGAGATCGCTTACTGTAACGTAGACTGCATTCATGTACACGGTGCTGCGAGTTTTACGTCTTGGTCTGCTCTGATTACGGTGACAGCACACCCGGCATTATAGACGCCCAAAGCAGGCAAATCGATGGTTGCATTTAGGGATCTCACTCGCTTGCGTCTCATTGGCCGCGCACGTTAGCGTGACCTGCCAGTGCTATTTTTCGTTGCCCCCCCCCCCCCCCCCCCTCCTCCCCTCCTTCCCAGTTTGTTGGTCTTTTGTCGCTGCGAGGCTTTGCCCTCGAGACGCGGACATAGTTTCGATCCATGTTTTTAAGCTTATGGATTTTTTTAGAACGTGTGTTCGTATTAAGCGAATCCGGGGAGGCAGAAAATGTGATGTAAAGACATTGCGTGCTCGAACAGTTAGCATTCAGTTTCCCTGCATATAGTACGGAGTGGATCTTGAACAAAGAAAAATACACTTCTGGTTGCTCAAAACAGACTATCAGTATAACCGGCAGCTGCGAATGTATAACCCCGTCAAGGTCGCATCTGGCCAACCGTACCGCTGAAACCGCATAATTTCCGGTCAGTTGACGCTGACGAGAGCCTGCCCCTGCGGCTTCCCCTGAATTGGTGACGCTGTTTGTGAAGTAAATAGTGAATGGGGCTGAGTGCCACTATTGAATCACTTGCAGTTGGGTTCTTGTAACGACAGGCAGTGACCAACTTAATTTGGAGCCGGTCCAGCTTACGTCATAAAGGCGACACGTTTGACGGCGGCTGCTTTTTCAGGATGAGCGGCCGCAGTACCCACAGAAAATCCTTCGGACGGAGGTGCTGTTGGATCCGCTCGGTGTCATACCGCGCCACACGGCCCCAGCGGCAGACAGTCAACCGAAAGAGACCAAACCCAAGAGCAAGTCGGCGGCTACGAAGTGAGTGAAGTGTCGCCTGCTGATAATGGTCAGAGAGTGGAGCGACTCCAGATGTACTCCTGGTGGCGTAGGGTAGGCCAGGCTCCCCGCGTCTCCATTGGCGTGGCCGCCTAGCGATCCCACAAATTGTCAGGTAACGCTCTAGACGTCAGAAGATGAGAATTGTCATTGGACTGGCGTCGAGAAAATGATGGTTTTGCACTGTACACAAGAATTATGGATAATGCATTGCGTTAGGGCTTTGTGTTTGATGATCGCTATGGGCAAATCGATCATCCTTAATTAAACAGCACAAAGTCCTGCGCAAGCATGAATCTTCTTCATGGTACACATCTTGTCATTAATGCGTAGTGATGGGCGTTTGACAGCCCTTGTAAGATTAGCGTAAGTGGTGGATAAATGCCCTTTATTGCAAATTTACTGTATATGACGCAACTATTCGATGTCTTTATTTATCATTCTTGACATATGTGAGTGATTCTAAGACATAAGTTCATTGCAGGTAGTGTAATTGCTCGGCCAGGAGAAACTTACATTTAAGCCTCGCCCAATAAGGTGTGGCCTGACAGGGTGTTTTCGTTGACCCCTTTGAACGAAAACCCCTCCGGTTGTTTTGTTTCAATGAATTGTAATTTTTAAAGATATGCTGAAAAATTACCAACTGAATTCATAACATTTGTAGGCATTTTGTCATCTTTGCAGCCCTTTGTCCGAGCATGTCGTGACCTTTGGCCCATTTGCACAGGTCATCTCAGTCAGGTTTCTCACCAAATCAGCAACAGTTCCCAACAGTTCACTTTTGAACAAATTGTTCCCAACAGTTCACTTTTGAACTGTTGGGAACTAGGTGTGTTACTTGTTTTTCATATGTAATGTCGTCATTTAAGCGTCAGTTATGTCAGGCCTGATTGTGCCTTGAGTTCGCCGGTTCAGATTATCAGAGGTCAAAAGGTCAAAAAAGAGATATATTGATAATTCGACACAAGCTTTTGTTGCAACAGGACATTGCTAATGCTGGTTGAGTAATGGGCTAGAATTGCTTTTGAGCCTGGGTGGGAGTGTAAAATTCCATCGCAAAAAGACCGTACAGGAGTGAAAGATTCAGTTCACAAAAGCTGGAACATAAAAGTCAGGTAACAGATACCCAGGCAAAGAAAGGCAATGCTTGAATTTCTTACTCTTACGCTCCGCGGGTGGTGCAATTTAGTGGTTCGTTTCGTCGGGAAAGAAATGCCTGGAGTAAAAATCTCTACCAGGCTTAACTGGTGTTTGTACGAGGCTTTGCTTTGTTGGGCCGCGTTTGGTCTGTTGTCAGCACGTTTTTCAGCACCAGTGACGTCACGTCACGTGACCACAAGGTCACGTGGTCTAAGATGTCACGCTCCGGCTGACGATAAGGCCAGGATCACGTTCGATCTGTCGTCAGCACGTTTGTCAGCACCAATGACGACCCAGTATTCGCCTTACGGCATGTCACGTGACCGTAAGGTCACGTTGGCTGTGACATCACGTGCCGGCTGACGATGATGCCAGGACTTTTTGTCAGCCCGTCGACAGTGGAGAGAAAGCGCTACCAGATAAACGAATCACTCTGGCAAATAAGTGGGAGTTTGATTCGGCTGGTCTTGCCTTGGGGGGGGGGGGGGGTACGTTAGATGGGGTGCGGGTACTTACCCCCTAATTATGGGAGAAATACAAGGTAAGATAGATAAGGAGGGAATTGAAATGCCAAGAGTGAAACGAAAAGGTGCGTGACAGTGATTAGTGTGGTCTGTGGTTGCGTTTCTCAGTAAATTCATAGCGTGATGAGTAAGCGCTTAAAATGAGCTGTAAGAAACTGAAATGAAGTGGAAATGGGAAAAAGTACTCAACGCACGGATGGGATAGATGATGGCAATACCGGGACAGAGGCCACACTTCCAAACACCACTTTATAGGTATTGTGTCGCGGTCGCACGGTAAGCCAGTCAGTGTATGATCTTAAGTAAAAGGTAAAGAAAGAAGGGAAAGGAAAATTGTAAAAACTCTCCCGTCAGTCCACACATCGAGCGCTCCGTTAGCACGCGTGACGTCACGCATTCCAGCTGTCAGTCGTGCTGACGACAGATCAGACGGGGCCCTGGCGTGGTGTTTGCGTGGTGTGACCAAAAAATCGGGATGCGTGAAAACGTTGTATCTGACACACAGTGGGGATTTTGATGTATTTTGTAAGCAAACCCAATTTGACCCATGCCAGAGGCTGGGGTCGCTGGGGCTCTCGGGCTTAAAGGTACCTAGTGCCCTCGCTCTGTGCATTCATGGGCATGATTCAGTTGTAGGTGAGGTAGGGCATAGCCATAGGTGCTCAGGTTCTGTGGAGCCTTGCTTATGCTTAGTGATTTCAAGTGAGCTCGGACCTGGATGACATCTTAAAACCTCTGAAGGGGAAATATGGGTTTAGTATGTGTCTTTAGACAGCACCAGGTGAGAGTGAAAAATTCACATTGAGTATGGGAGGAAAAGGAGTGAGAAATTCCTCCTCATGGGGCGTTGCTTCACACCCAAGGCCAGCAATTCTAGGCTACTGTGGTTAAGCAATAACATGGTCACGATAACATGGTTGAGCAGTGAATTTGAACCATCACATGGGTCTTACACAGACACTGAGTTCAATGCTCACCCATGCACTGTTCAGACACAGGCTTGTAGCCGAAATATCAACGCTTCTTTTAAATGAATGGAAAAAGTGAAATGTAGCTTTCACCTTGCTTTTATCTTACGAGGAATAAGTCCAAAAGCACTTTTATGGCATATGAAATGCTCCTCGCAGCAGCACTGAACAGCATTAACGAGTCTTATGATCCAACATATGAATGCCATTTTAGTGATCACTGTGCGACGAATTATATGAAATTTATTGGGTCAACGTCACGCTGGGTTAGATAGATGCAACAAAGGCAAGTACCGATAGGCATAGTTTGCACCGGGGGTTTGATCAAACGTGCTGAATGGTGAATGACCATATTTCAACTCGCTTTGCTTGTGGTCATTTGAGTGTAAACCACGCTGATCTTTTGAAAATCAAGCAACGTCATGACTTTAAATCTTTTGTTGTCTGCATGCTGCTCTTTCATGACCCATGAATTGTGTTAACAGTTGCAAGCTGTATTCAGTGCGTAATGCTTGAGTACGCTTGTTCAGCCTTGCTCTTCGTTGTTTAACATCTTCATTTTGGTGATCATTTGAGTGCATTGTAACACTTAATGACCTCGTTGGATCTGGCACAGGTCTTTCACATGGTTTTTGAAATGTACGCCATCTGAAAAAGCCAGTCATATTGCACCGAATATCGTATATTTTGTCGTAACGTGGCGGATCACATCCCTTTCCCCCAAAAACAAACTACCTCCGAGAAGAAAAGAAACAAGAACCAAAAAGAAGAACAAGTAGAATTGGACAGCTTAGCCAATGATCTCGGCGACAGTCGTTTTCCGGTCACCCCATCTCATCCAGCATGCCAGGCTACATTAAGTGGGACTAGTTAGCATGCGCTCCAATTGACCTTTCAGCTGTGGCGGTGTTTCCGTCACGTGGGAGATCACTCAGCTGACCTAGATTTAAAATCTGGACATCTGTTGTTGGCTGCTGCTTAAAGAATCACCTTTTTTGGGGATTTGGAAATTATGTCGACAAGAACATTTTCTCTCATTCCGATTTAACCCATTTAGGATCATTATCGTGACCAGTAATGCTGCCTATTTGACCTGGAACGCCAAAAATCAAATATTTGGAAAGCCTAGGCAACGAACAACACGATGTCTTTATCTCGATGTTCTGCCTGTCTTGATTCAAAAGTTAGTAAGGGGTGTTGTCGCGTACCCCTCAGCCCGTCGTCGGGCGAGGGTGTAAAAATGGCCCCGTCGGGTGATGGTTAGATATAGAAGGCCGTGCTCGATTCCCGACCGGGATGATGTCGCCAATTACCATACAGCCGCCGTAGTCACTGATGTACAAGAAATGGTCAGGCGACGGCGGGCGCTGCCGCGACTAAAAGAGTCATCACTGCTTCAGCCGATTCCACATAAGAAGTAAACTATGTTGGCTCATGCAGTACGTAGCACGGCTGTGAAGACCCCGTTTCCTCTCACACCTATTGCGGGACAAGATGGCACTGACGTCCTCGGCTGTGCTTGCTTAATAACACCTGGCGACTGATCGGCAGGCATCCTTCATGTTTGAGCTTGTGACGACTCGGTGTGTAGACTCAGGAAAGGCTTGAATAGACCCCATAGACCAAAAGGCTAGACCCCATACAAGACTTGAACTGTAAAATTGACACAATGCAATCATTCACAATATAAGTTCAGGGAATGGCCAGGTGATTGCCTCGTCGACTTGTGTGACGGATGCTTTTCACTTGCACCGTCATTTGCATATTCCCTGCACGATATATTGCTGAACTGAAAGGATGTATTAGACCACACTAAACACAAGTGCGTCTGAGCTCAGATAGCCCCGCGTACCCGCTGCCGGGTAGCACTGTCAATATGACGTGCTGGGCTTCAACAATTGATATTTTGGCGGGAATGCTACAAATCAATGTGTAGGGAACATCTCGAAGTTGGAATGGGATTGGGCTTTTGGTTCAGGCGTACTGGAAAATCCGTACTGAGTCAAATACTCTAGTGGTGCAGTGCATTCCCATCAGCTTGGTGTGATTACTTTTGACAGGGGTTTTCCCTTTACGCTGTTACAATTCTGCAAGATGTTGCTTTGTATGTGGCCTGGGTGCATCTGGCAATGGTTGCGTCTGCGTGGAAGTTGTACTTTCGTTATGGCATTTTTGATGTTTGCTCTGTATGTGCCCTGGGTGCAGTTTGGCAATGGGTGCGTCTGCGTGGAAGTTGTACTTTTGTTATGGTATTTTTTATGTTTGCTCTGTATGTGCCCTGAGTGCATCTGGGAATGGGTGCGTCTGCGTGGAAGTAGTACTTTTGTTATGGTATTTTTGATGTTTGCTTTGTATGTGTCCTGGGTGCATCTGGCAATGGTTGCGTCTGCGTGGAAGTAATACTTTCGTTATGGTATTTTACCCCGTGGTGCTGCAGCCCAAGACACTGCGTATAAGTCATGTCGCGGTTAAAAGGCTGATTGCCGTTAATAGCGTCTTCTGCTGGTTCTAAAAAGTTGGGAAACTATTTTGTCAGGCTAAACGCTTCAGCTCAGTCCACTGGTGTTTGGAGAGCATGGTAGAATGGCACGTTCTAGAGAAAAATGATTTAAATGCTTGCGGATAATGTTCTTAACGATGGCTGACTTATGGATGACTTACCTTAACGATTCAGAGACGTCAGCTTAACTTGGGAAATATGAAATCATATTATTGTTCCGTTGCTTACGGCCAAGGCAAGGATGTTGTAAATAACCTACAACTACGGATTTGGGAATGGATGGTCCCAATGTTTTAGTTGTTTCACATGCATTTCGGGTGGTTTGTAGAGCTTATATATTGAATGAAATTATGAAGGAAGCTGTGGAGTTAGAAATTTGTGCATCATAATTAGCATTTGTGGCTTAGCGATCTCCATGGTTTCAAAATTGTGTACCATTTAAAGATTGGCTCTAAGCTTTGTGAAGGGAAAGCTTTTTTTATCAAACGCGCAGGTGCATTGTGCAAGATTGCTACCCTGTCTAGTTGAGAAGCATAATTAATAACCCCAAATGAAGTAGCAATATTTCAACTAAGGAAGAATTCAGGTGTTGTAGAGCAGATGTGACTCTACTTCATGTGTACATTACATTAACTTATGTATTACATGTTTCATATTACATAGTTGCATATGACATACATATTACATATACTTACGACGTATTGCATACATAGTACGTATTAATTAGATGCATTAATGTGATATATGTGGGGCGTAAATCAAGAATTTTGTTAAATCAGCACACCAGGGTATTTCAGGTAGAATTGCTAAGTTGTACATTTACTTAGAATTAAGAAGAAAGGGTAATTTAATGCTCTGTAAATGTTTTTGATACGTTGAGTGAAAGAAAATTGACGCGAAACCAGGAGGCAAGTTGAAACAAAAGCGCATCGACGTTCTGTTGAAGCTCCACAGTACTTTTGTTGTTGAAAAGAATTAAGCAAATCATTTAGGTATGTAATCAAAAGAATGTGGTCCAAAATGGATCTTTGGGAACACTCATGCTATACATTACATTATATATATATATATATATATATATATATATATATATATATATATATATATACCATATTTAGTATTCAATGTATTTATATGTAAGTGTGAAATTCGTATATTTTGTGTGTCATCAATTTTCTCTCAGCTTCGTGTTGTGACGTTATTCGCATGCCTCCGCTGAAGCTGCCTCCCTGAACCAAATTGCTGGCGCATGCCTTGCCAGGAACTTTAAGTTGCTATCATTCGGTGATGAAGCAGAAGAGGACGAAGATGAAACGATCGAAGCGACGAAGAAGTTTTCGGGGAAGTCCAAATCGTCTCATGACCTGACTGACGATCCCAAGCTCAGCTCGGCCCCCGCCGTGCCAGATGCTCAGCAGACAGCGAAGCGTCCGGCCGACGAACAGGACAGGTAAGCCTCTCAGCTTCCCCTTCCTCTCCCAGCCCTTTGCTCTACCAGCTTTTTTCCGTATCCTCCTTGCGTTCCGTGGTAAGTCAGATCAGCCGTGTCCTCTCCGCCTTTTTTCATTTCATTTCGCCCCTTAGTACTCCGTACTTTTCTTTAAAACATGTCTACACAATTATTTTCTTCTTTTCTTCTCCCGCCCATGCTCTCCCTCCCCGTCCCGTTCTCTCTCTCTCTCCCCCTCCCTCTCT